AATAAAATATTTTATTCACACTTTTGGGTCTTTAAAACTATTGATCATGTTATATGAATTAACATACTGACAATTATATGTAGTTCTAAACAAGATGTTAGTGCATGTGAAGTTCCATATCTATATAATATGACTACATAAGTTAAATTCCAGTTAATATGAATTTGTACTGCCCTCTATATGTGCAATTTTAGCTCATAATTAGCCTTGATACTTCCATCTACCCTCACGTGTTTACATCTGGTATAGCTGTGCTGTAGCATGCAAATAAGTATGTGACAATTCTCCCTCTATACTGTAGAGAACTTTTATCACTTCTCAATTTAGAATTCTAGTATGCGGTTATGCTTTAAGTTTGCTATGCACTTTTCTTCATTTCGTGTCCAAAACACTTAAAGTTATTGTGTTTGACAACTTAGTTTGTTATCATTTCATTTCTGCATACAGAATTTTTCTGGAATATTTTCTTCTTCATTTCCACATTATGAACTCTCACTTTATTTTCACTACAATGACTTCTTCAGTTATAAATCAGGCCACCCACTGCTGTTCCACCTGCTGCTTCTGTGGCTCTGGGATTCACACTTTCTTGGAGGTCTTGGCTAGAATACGTTGGAAATTGAAAACTTCATGTGTCTGCTAGGTCTTTAGAAACACAGCTGAATACCCTGTTCTTGGGTGAATTTGTCCAGGACAACAAGCACTTTGACAACCTGTTCTCATTTCCTTCCTTTGCAGTAAATTCCATGCTACACCTTTGGATATACCTCATCCCTCGTCCGCCTTTTTGGAAATGATTTTCCAGGTGTGTTACCTTTTGTTCATATCCACTACGTCTTTTGATTCATTCCCCTCCTTCCTTCATTCATTCTGCACCTTTGTTGTATCATTTAGTATTCTCCTGTTCTCCTGATATTTGAGTCGTTCTTATCAATTTGTAGCCCTATTACGTTTAGGTCCTAGCATACCTCATCCTTCACATCTATATGATTCCTATGACTTGGCGTGTCATAGGTTGGATTTTCCATATTTGGATTCTCAGACCTTGGAGACATTGACTCAAGCATGGGAATCCCTTATTGTAGACTACTTTGAGATTTTACCCAGCCCAGTTTTCACACCTTTGGCTTACACTCACCACTGTTTTCTGCTGTCTTTATTCCATTCACCTCCTCTCTAATGCTCTCCTTCATTCCTCTGAGGGATTTTTTCAAGATACTCGTACCCTTATCTTTTCCAAGATGGTGTGCTTATCATCCTCTGCCTTATCTCTGCATACTTGGTTCCTTTGTTGTTGTGATTTTTTTGGCAGGAATGCCTTTTTGTCATACATGTCTCCATGCTTTTTATGTAAGGGACATCTGTTTGGCTTCCTTTTTTAATTAATTGGTATTTAGAGATCTTCCTGATACATTGGGGTCTAGGGAGAAGGTTGCATGTCAACATTCCTCCCATACCTTTACAAAAAATGGGATCCTGTGGAGGAAGGAAGGAAATGTGACAAATGGATAATGGGGGAATGAATGGAAAGTCATTGCAAAAGAACCTAGGTAACACAGGGTAATTTGGCATCTTGCTGCTGAAAACCCAGGAAAAAAGCACTAGAGGAGAGGAAGCAGGAGGGAAGGAACACAGGAATTGAAGCTGGAGAGGGTTGGGATAGATAGAAAAATAAGGGAGTCTTTCAAAAGTGGTTTGAGATCTTTTACACAAGGATGCTATCAAATGAGTACATCACCCTTCTCCAGGGTTCTATTCTCAGCTGTTCATGGTTCCCAACAGGACTGGGGATTGGCATTCTATCAATGACCTATCTGACCTCAACTGCTTCATCAACCTCTCCTGGTTCACCTTGGAGGTCTTTCTTACTCTTCATTGAGTGTTCACTCTGGGTTTTACTTTTAGCTCCATCCCAACAAGCCTCTCTCACTAATACACCTTTCCTCCTACAGGAGGTTGCTCGGGTCGGATGTCTAGTCAAGCTGGAGAAGTCATCTCTCAACCTTGCACATTGTATCTGATACAATTTGGTGTGTTTTTCAACACTTTCCTCAACAGGGCTTGGTCTTTAACTCTTCATTTTATGTTGATGGAGCTTTTGATTTCCAAAACCAACATCTCTCCTCCTCATGCACATGAGGGTCTATCTCTTTTGAGGATCTGGGCATCCATAGAAGTCCTTTTACCTTGAGGTTGTGCACATATACATGGTCTTTAGTGGGTGTTGCACAATCAATGGAATCTCATTCAGGATCCCTTGGATTCCATCATTCACCTCCCTCCTTCCGTCCAAGTAGACTTTGCCTGTTGGCTCAACAGAGGCACCTTCTCTTTGGGCACCTTCTGAAGTGTTCTCATCTAGGTAACATTGCACTGTATCCTTCACTGTTTCAATGTGGGATTCTAGCTATTTTGTGAGAAGAGATAAGGTATCGTATTGGAAGTTACATTGCTCTACATTGAAAATGTATTTCTGATAGATACTTACCTCTCTCCACACTTCCCACTTATCTTCCCCACTCCTTGAGCATTTTTTTGCCTAATCTTGAAGTGATGTAAATACATTATAGAAGGTGTCAACTGTGTTAGGAGGGTGTGTTCCACTCCTATTGGTGTAGGGTTGTTGCATGCTTATTTGCATGATACAGGACAACTACCATGTGTAAACATGTGAAGGTAGTTGGATGTATCCAGACTAGTGTCAAGTAAAACTTGTGCATATAGAGGGCATCACAAGTCAATAAAAGCTATTATGTGAGAGAACATAAGTATCTATTGGAAATACATTTTCAGTGTAGAAAAATGTTAACTTTCAAAACCTTTCTGTTAAAAACATTTTGATACTCATTTCATTTAGTGGAGCTTTTATGTTTACAGCCAATGAGATAAACTCAAGGGAACTTACAACAGTTAAAGGAAACTGGCCCATACAAGTTCTTAAAAAGGGGTCATCATTTAAGTGCACTTTGATATCTTCAGGTGCAAAACTCCTTATGGAGACATAGAAGGAACTCTGATTTTATACACTTTTTTTGTTGTTGTTATCGTTTATTTTTTTCCTGATTATATAATGTTAGCTGTCTGATGTTTATATGTTGTATCTCATGTTTCTTTATTTCCAACCCAGAGCTCATCTTCAGATTTTAAAGGAAAATTGGTAGGACTTCATAAATGGGAATTCCCAAATCAGGTAGGCAGATTTTTAGTACTGTGTTTTTAATACATAAGATATTGTGATATATTGTTGGCAGTGTATACTTTCCTGAAATTGGTTTTGTAATTTGTGAACAAGAAAAATAAAAATGAGCTATTTTTTTAATATTTGAAATAACTAATATGGTACAATGTTATATTGTTACTTACATTTACAGTTAAATTTTTAATAAATATTTTGAAAACCATACATTTTTGACTCTTTAATACTATAGCAAAATATCACCACAGTTGAATAAGGTAAAAGAGAAAAAAAAAAAGTAATGTTGCAAAAACGTCCACCAAACCTAAGACTTCCTTTTTGACCGAAATATATTTTGTGTCCTAATGGTTATATTTGTGAGTGAAAATAGGGTTAGTCCTCAATTATTCTTCATAATGATCAGACTCTTTTAACATGTCAGAACTCAAATTAACCCTTACATTACCAGATTGTTTACATAACACTCACCCCAGCAATAATTAGTGGGATTAATTGCTATATTGGGGGTATTTTGCTTCAGTTTTATACATTTCTTATATGTTATTAGAGAGAGATCATTGAACCACAAGCAATTTGGTACACAAATAGTTATAAAAAATGGGATGGGGTCCATATAGACCTTTGTAGTAATTTTAGAGTTATATTGTGCAAAACAAGTTATTATTTATTCACATTTTTTACCAAGTTTTAGTACATTTTGCCACCAGTTTTTAAACATCTATATAATTTGTGAAAGTGACATTTTTACATCTTCCCTTCAAATTAATATTTTTGTTTAAGTCATGTTACAAGATTGTAGCTGCTTTTTTGTTCATTTTGAAAGAACATTAAAGATTATGCATAGAAGTCTTAAAAACATTTAATATTGTGTAGTGTCCTTATGATCATCCAAAACAGCATTCTTTTGCATCTTTCAATCAAGTGGTTAGTTATTGGAAGGTTTCCTCAGGAATATTACTCCATTCACAAAAAGAATTGTCTCCAATTCTTTCAGGGGTGACTGACACTGTTGTAGGTCTCAAGACCACATCTTGGAAGGTCTCGGTTTGACCCTCTGAGTCTCGGTGTTTCACAGGTTTTGAAAATAAGACCAGCCAGCTAAATTTAAACATTTTAACAATGTTAGACTAGTCACCTACCCACGATTATTAAGCACTAAATATCGATTACGCAGCAGTTCATACGAGGCATAGTATAGCATCAAAGATGTTTTACCAATAAAGCCCCCCTTGGTACTACACCTTTGCAATGATGTTTATAGCACCTCCATTATTTTTGTTTATGCCACCAACCACCATATTGCCTGTACTTCAATCTGCAGTTATATCATGCTCTATTCAAAACTAACTGCTACTATACATTGCATTATGTGTAGGCTTACTACAAGTTTGTATGAACTTCATCTGGTGCATGTATTTACGTCAAACATTAGCGATTATCCCTAATATTCAACATGTGTATTAGATCTTCTGTGATCCTGTTTTGCATAAAAGATCATAAATAATTTACTGACACCAATATTTGCTTTAGTTTTATTTGCTAACCTTTTTGATTTTTGTTATTCCTTCATAATTTTTTTTTATGTTTTCATTCTTTGTTTGTTTTTTCATAGGAGGAGACATTAAAACAAAGCTGTGGAGTTAACATGTAAAAGATTTGTGGTTAAGATGTTAATAAAGTTTGATGTATTCAATATTTATTCTTCTTGCTTTATTTCTCATCTTGGAATACATTGCAACGTCTCTGTCTTGGTCTCAATTCCTCAGCTCTTGGTCTTGGTTTGGATATTGAGGTCTCGACTACAATGCTGCTGATTTAAACTTTCATAATGTTCAGTAAACCACTTTGCAACACATCTTTTAACATGTATTTGTGTATTTTGAGTAACACTGTTGTTAATGGAACAATGTTGCTTCATTGTGAGTTAAAACTAGTCTCTTATGATGGCTTTACAGCTGCTATCTGTTATCCTGCCTTCAGTGCAATATTTTGAGTAAAGCCATAACAACCAGATATGGCTGACTTTACGATGGAACCACCTGTACCTTTTTCAGTTGAAACCAAGCACTTAAGATGTATGCTTCAGTTAGCTTCTTCTGTATATATGCATATACATGTCTGTTTAAGACCATGGTTTGATATCATTCCACCATTTGTATCTACAAAGCTGTGTTTCTGAGAGTAATAATAGATTATCTATACACACTTTACCATGGTAACTCTCTTGAGTTCGTGTAATACATGTTTTTTTCTAACACTAGTTGCTATTGTTTGTTCTTGATCTCTGAGCAAAGTTTTAAAAGTTATTTTTGTTATTTTGTATTAGCATTAACGATGCATTTTAAAGAACAGAAAAATAAACCTTCAGCATAGAATATGAGTTAATGTTTACATCAAGTGTGAGGATTACACTTGTTTTAATTCTTTAAACTTTTTTTTTTTCTATAAACGTAGATAAGACTTAAAGGTAACATTATTCTAACTTTGGAGTAAATTTAGAATTTGATTACACTCAATTGTTTTAACTTGTGTGTAGATAGTATTGTTGTAATAAAAGTTCCAATATGGTACTTACCTCCTCTCACAAGATTAGCTATTTTCGTTCAGTGCTGCTCTTTATATGCAAACATTTTCTTTATGCATGCCACAAGCCTTGTGCTCCCCCCTTATTGGAATTAGTACATTCCAATGTGTCTCTCAATGCAAATCATCATCCATCAACCAATAGTAGCATAATATGCTCATGTGGCTCCTTCTACACTCCTCTACCAACCTTCACTTCTCGTTTGGCAGCTTCTGAGTATAGATGTTTTCTTTTATGCTTCATGCTTCCCATGTGACATGTTTTTGATTTTTGTTTGAAATGGTTCTAGTTTTTTATTTTGGTTATAATTGCCACATTTCTCCCAGTTTATTTTTGTCACTTTTCTGTACAAGGCTATTGTATGCAGTTTTCATGAGTTATAAATTCTGAAGTCAATGTTACCAATTCTGGGGTCACACCAACAATCTTCTATCTCATGCCTGAGGTGTGGGTGACCCAATGTGGATCTTTCTGATTTTGTCCGTTGGGAGATTGAATGCAGCTTGAGTTACCCTTTGATACTATTGATACTTCTGATACTATTTACACTATCACAGGAGTTGATCTGTCACCTTCCTGGATGTGGCCTTCTTATACTATTTACATATTCAACAATATCCATAACCTCTGGAGTTGATCTGTAACATAACAAGCTGACATGGCCTCCTTATACTGTTTACACTACTGTGGAGTTGATCCATCACCTTAATGGTTGACGTGGCCTCCTGTTACACATTCCATACCACATGGGGTTGATCCATCACCCCTTTTGATTAGGAACCCTCATCCTACCTTTATGTGGATGTCGATTACCAGCATTGAGGTGTTGGATTCAAGTGAACCAATTAACATAAGTCCTTGCACAAGTTGAATCCAACCTCTCGATGCTAGATAACCAGTCCCTGATTGCTGTAGGGTGTTGATCCTTGTATAGTACCTATGAATTGGATCTTAATCCCCAATTCTTGAGTTGTAGGTGAAGATGTCATGATCCTCATCTTACCCTTGCATGGATGTTGGTATCCTGTAGAGGAGGTTTTGGATGTAGTTTACTTACTGAATATGGTCTGACGTGTTCTAGTCACTCTACACATCGTGATTTTCGTCCTTGTGTTTTACAAATTATACACAAGGGCGAAGAGTATACCTGGCTCATAAGTGGTGCAGTTCCTCTCCTCTGATCTCCAGATCTCTTTCTCTCATGGTCAGGGGTATCCTTCTTATGCTTTCAGGGGTGCTTTTGTTATTCCCTCGCACCAGTTCCTCCTCCTTCTCAATATGGGATACTTGTGAGAGGAGTTAAGTACCTTATCAGAAGTTATAATTTTCATATACTGAAAATTTACTTACAATGGGTACTTACCTCCCCACTTCTCCGGTGCTCACACCTTCTGCCAAACTTCGAGGTGAAGATTCAGTAGAGGGAGTCACATGCATCACGTTAGCATACTATGCTACTATTGGTTAATAGATGATGCATAATGATTTGCATGAGACACACATTGGAATGTACTAATTCCAACAAGGGAGGAGTGCAAGGTTTTTGATATGCGTAAAGAGAATGTTCACATATAGAGGGCAGCACTGAATGAGAATAGCTAACCTTGTGAAACGAAGTAAGAATCTATCAGAAATACATTTTCAGTATAGGAAAATTATAACTCTCAAACTAAGTAGACAAAAGTTTCATGCATTTAAAATATTGATACAGCTTGGGCTTGACTTGTATAAACATTTTTTGCAATAATGAATTTAGATAAATAACTAGTGGTGTTGTGATAAAGTATTTTGTTCTAGAACACCAACTAAATTCCAAGTTTACAGCCCTTGAATTATACAATACAGTGCAACAGTGTTAGGACAAGAGAATATTTTGTCATTCTTTCCATTTTATGGGGCTAATTCTTCTATGCTATTACATAATGTAAATTTCAACACTATGGTAATGCTTCACTGATCCCTGTTGACAATTGAATGAGCCAGAGTGAGAATAC